CACTCAACCCCTCACCTTGGACCATTGAAGGAACACGTTCATGAGCGTCGGCCGGAATTGATCCACGTACTCCTCCTTGTCCACCTCTATCTTCTCTTCCGTCTGCACTTAATCGCCTTGGTACCGCACTAAACCCCTCTTCCTCATCTCGGTACTACACTCAATCCATCACCTTGGACTAGTGAAAGAACACATTCATGAGCGTTGGCCGGAATTGATCCACGTACTCCTCCTCGTCCACCTCTATTTTCTCCTCTATTTGAACACGTGCTATGTGTTGCGCTGCTTCCCTTATAGTGTTGTAGTGCGGCTTTAAGTCCACTGACACAGGCTGCAGGAGGGTAGGGGCGAAAGAGCAGCAACGACTGCTGACAGTTGGGAGGGGGGAATGGAGATGTGTGGCACCATAGAGAGTGCGAGCGGAGTACATGAGGGAGGTGAACTGGTGAGGGTGTTCGAACCCGGTTCTCCTCTAGCATCCTCTGCCCGGTTCTCGTGCTGCAGCTGCTGTTACTCCAGCTGGGGATGCATCTGAGGGTGGTTACAATGTCACCACGGCAGCAGAGGAAGAGCAACTTGCTTCTCCTGAAGCGAGAGGCAGCACCTGGCAGCAAGAGGTGGTGCTGCCGCTTTAGGAGCAACAAGTTGCTCTTCCTCTGCAGTCGTTTGAGCACCCGTGAGCAGTCTCTCAGCTCGGATTTGAACAGAAAGAGCTGGGGGGAGGTCGGGAAGGGTGGGTGGACCATGGGGGGAGGTGCGCACCCTTCAGCTGCACCACCCCGTGTGCATCGATGTGCCCCACTTGTTTGATTACGCGCCAGTGGTACCTGAGCTCAGACATAAAGAGAGAGAGAGAGAGAGAGAGAGAGAGAGAGAGAGAGAGAGAGAGGGAGAGAGAGAGAGAGAGAGAGAGAGAGAGAGAGAGAGAGAGAGAGAGAGAAGCAAGGGGTGGAAGGACAGCGCAAGCAGGGAGAAATGGCGATACAAATGCAGAGGGGAGTGGCGACGAATATGTACCGTCGGATCTGAGGCAACCCGACAATCCCGACTCACCCCGCGCGGGAGCAGGGGCGGAGCAGGCGCAGCTGCAGGAGAGAGGATTGGGCCGCCGACAGAACCGCAGACCCCAACCCCCCCCGGACCAGGCCCTCTCAGCATCCCAGCTGGCATCGAGGGACGATCTCTTTGAGATCGCGATGAGCTGGGACTTGTCTACCCTAACATCGACCTCTCACCTGCCTATCGTCCGCCGCCTGCCGCCGCAGATCCTAAGCGACTATTCCACCTGTATGCTGGCAGCGCTCCTACGGATCTCCAAGCTGCCAAACTGCGCGGGAGCTTGGCGGGTCCTCATGTTTCTGCCACGTCTGACCCTACGACTTAGCAGGAGGTCCAGCTCTAGGTGGAAGGTGCTGCGAGAACAAATGCACCTATTCAGATGTGGCCACTGGAACCAGCTGTACAGTGACTACACGGGGTCCCTGCACCAAGCCGAACCACCTCAGCACCAAAATGACCCCCTGGGAATCTGCTCACGAGTGGAGGGGCTGGTGAAACGGGGTAACCTGCGAAAAGCACTTGCAGCCCTCCAACCCTCGCCAGCAGCCCCTGTGACAACCGCGACACTACAGCAGTTGGAATCGAAACATCCCCAACCCCAAATTGACCTGCCCGACTGGGTCCACACCTACACAACACCCACGCAATTTTCGTGCACCACGGAAAACTTCTCAAACGTTCTTGGGGATTGCCCCAGCGGTGTTGGGGCTGGTCCATCTGGGTCAACATTTGAACATTACCGAGACCCAGCCCTAAGTAACATCGAAGTACTAGGGCACCTGCACTCCGCCGTAACCCACCTCCTCTCGACAAACCTCTCCGCCGAGGTTGCAGCACTACTCTCGCCATCCCGCCTCATTGCATTCGCGAAACCAGGGGGGGGGGTACGCCCTATAGAGATAGGAGAATCCCTGCTCCGGCTGGCAGCAAAGGTTGCACTCTCAGAACTGCAAGGAGAAACAAGGCGATTTTTCTTACCCCAACAATTCGGCGTGGCAGTCCCAGGCGGGGCCGAGTTCGTTATCCACACAGTCAGAGACCTCACCACTTCACATCCATCAAGCCTAGTCCTCCAACTCGACATCGAAAACGCATTCAACTCCGTAGAGAGGATAGCGTTCTTTAACGCACTCACCAACACCCCGCTCGCCCCACTCATTCCCTTCACACGCTCCTTCTATGCGACGCCTTCACAGCTGCTGACCGATCCCCGCTTAAGCACAACGGCACTCACCAGTGGTAGGGGAGTTAGGCAGGGGGACCCCCTTGGACCCCTTCTATTCGCGGCTTCAATCCAGCAGCACCTCAGACGCGTAGCAACAGAACACCCCGAAGTCACAGTCCTAGCATACGCAGATGACATCACCCTGATTGGACCGGCGACAGCAACGCTAGACGCACTAAAGGTACTGACACCGCTGCTAGCCCAGGACGGCCTCACCTGCAACCTCCGAAAATCGTCGGCCTGGTCCTCCTCGCCGATCGAAGGTAATGAGCTCCCTGAGGGCCTTCCCCTCACCCACGAGGGGGTACGGGTGCTAGGAAGCCCTGTGGGGTCACAGCGCTTCTGCGCTGACCTCGTCCGCAGTACCTTGACTGACGCGGCGGCACCCCTGGGCTCCTTAGCATCCATCCATCCACAGCATACCCTCCTGCTCCTATCTCGCTGCATCAGCCGCAGAATAGGCTACCTGCTGCGCACCACTCCGGCAGACGCCCTACCTCTCTCAGAATGGCATACGTGGTGCGCCGAACTGCTCAACACTGCCTTAACCGCCGCCAGCATCCAACCACCCCGCCATGACATAGAGTTCAACTTCCTACTTCGCCAAGCAACCCTCCCAGTAGCACTAGGTGGGCTAGGCCTCACGGACCCCACAACAGAAGCAGCACCAGCCTACCTGGCTTCGACAACAGAGGCGCTACGCCTACTCCGCTCACTTGACCTCCCAGCAACCTCGGCGCTAGGGAGCAACAGCAACGCTCTACAGCCGTCGGCAGCACACTCGGTCACCATCCAAGACATGGAGGGACGACTGCCACCACTGGCACTGCAAATCCTCCGCGGGGAACAGGAATCCCCGTCCCAAGACCAGCTGCAGCGCGCCCTTTCCCAGGAAGTACATGCGGCAAAGGCCGACGGCCTGACAGAGGAATCACGCGCAATCAGGTCTGCCCCCGAGATGGGGCACACACTCCGCCTCGTCAGCCTGAGAGGTGAGGGAGCGGGGGCATGGCTGCAGGCCCTACCCCTAACCCCAGATCTCTGCTTTTCACCAGGGCAATTCCGAACAGCCCTGGCCTTCCGCATGGGCATCCGGCAGAACGTACCCACCGTGTGCGAATGTGGAGAGCTCGTAGCCGACTGCAGCCTCCCCAACCACTTACTCCGCTGCAGCACAGGCCCTGACCGAACACGCACACACAACCAGCTGGCTTTCGCCGTGGCTAAAATGGCGAGGGAGGCACAGCTGGTGGTATACCTGGAGAACGCGATGTACTCACCACCGGATGACCCGAAGAAGGCAGATGTGATTGTACGCGACCCAGACAGTGGTGAAACATGGATCACAGACACGACCATCACTGACCCCGTGCTACAGAACCGTGACCCAGCAGCCCGCAAACCCCCTGGATGGGCTGCAAGGGAGGCTCAGTAAAGGAAGGAACGGGACTACTACAGGCACACAGAACACGTGGTGTTCTGCGCCCTAGCCGTTGAGACCTATGGGGCAAACGCACCCCCCACAATGGCGTTCCTGAAGCTTCTGGCCACAGCAGCAGCTAGGAACCGCTTCAGGGCCAATCCCTTGGCGAAAACCGCCAAGAAAATGGCATGCCACTTCAGCCAGCGCTGGTCAGTGGCCCTCCAGCGCTCTCAAGCGAATGCCCTGCACACCAAGGCCAGGGCAGGGATCGAGGCGGCACACCCCCAGATGGCAGCAGACCCATGGCCGCTGCACCTGGGGGACATCCTCCACACGCTGGAGGGGTAGAGGGTCACTGAGGGGGGAGGAGGGTCAGAGGGATGGGCCAATGGGGCAGAGGGTCTAAAGGGAACCACAAATCAAACCGTATGCTTGTACCGCCGCTGAATTAATACAAAGGACCATTTGAGAACTTAGTCTTTTCCCTCCTAGGCTCTTCCCCTCTCTTCCCCAGCTATATAAGGGCCCCTTGGCCTTCTCTCCAGCTCATTCTTCATTTGGTGTCTCTGATTTTTCATTTGGTGTTTCTGATTTTTTCCGGTTCGTTCGAGAGAGCGAGAGAGAGAGAAGCAAGGGACTTAGTCTTTTTCCTCCTAGGCTCTTCCCCTCTCTTCCCCAGCTATATAAGGGCCCCTTGGCCTTCTCTCCAGCTCATTCTTCATTTGGTGTCTCTGATTTTTCCGGCGCTTCGCGCCGGCGCTCGCGGGCGCGGCCTGCGGCCGCGCGCTTGGGACGACAAGGACAATAACAAGGACGGCTAGATGACGGCAAAAATGACAACCATGGCAGACAACGACAACTAGACAAGCTACCATGGAACGGGTCTACACACGCGCGAGGGGGCCGCCTACATGCGGTCCGCCTCAAGCTCACCAAGCATTTCGCGCGTGGTCAGCCACATCTGGCGGACCACTGACGCGGTGGCGCCGACAACGTCAACAGGAGTTCCACGAGTTGCTACAAGGGTCCTCAGGCCCAGGGCCATCTCAGCCAGCAGGGTGGCCGAGACTACTCCCGGCGAGGGCGCGACCTGCAGTGGCGATACGAACGAGAATAATGCTGACGCCGCCGCGTGACACCTTGCTCGCGGCATATGAGAGAACGTGCTCGGCGGGGTCTCCAACATGGAGCCATGCGACTCCTGGAGAATCAGCTCAAGACTCTGCAGGCACTCCGCCAACGACCACAAGTGCGCCAGGGTCGCCGTGGGCACTGGCTTCATCTGCGGGGGGAATGCAGACGCGCGAGATCGGCGAGCCGACACTGCCAGATCACGAGGAGCAGGGAGGGGACGTGGCGGAGCGAACTGGGCCCACGGGTCCCCGCCACCCGCGCCAACAAAGCCAGTCCCCGCAGGCAGCGGACGAACTGAGCGCGCCGGGGATCCCACAGGATTATGGGGCAGGAGCGCGGCGAGAGGAGCGACTGGAGCAGCAGGAGGAGCAGATTGCGAGGACGGCCCCGCATGGGAGCGGTGGAGAGCTTTCTCCACACCGTCCAATTTCTTCAGGACTTGCTCCATCGCGGAAGGCGCCGGACGCGCAGCCCCGCCGCGGCCGTAACCCCCCCGTCGCCCACGATGCGCACGCCCACTCGCGCTCGAACGCACAGGCGACTGTGGGCGAGACAGGCCCCGCTGACGCTGGCGGTCAGAGGAACGCTCCGTGCGACGAGGAGAGTAGAGCCGCTGGCGCTTCGCAAGAGGGGGAGAACGTGGCGCCAAGGACCGATATCCAGACGCATGACGAGCAGGCGATCGCGGACGAGAGGAGCGGGGAGCGAGAGAACGGTGGCGATACGAGCGGTGGTCACGGGAACGGCTCCGTGACACCTTGCGCCGAGGAGATCGAGGAGACCGCGGTGATCGCGGAGACCGCGGCGGGCGCGAGTCAGCGCGACGGTCGTCGTGGCGGCTCTCCCGCCTACCGTCGTGGGCCACCGGCGAACGATGGCGAGGCGAATGCCCCCGGTGCGCTACAGCCTCTGCGCCGGAGCGCGCGACGGACCCCACACGCGCAGGCTCCCCCAGAGGCAAGGATCCGCCTCCGAGCAGACCCAGATCCCGACGCTGATCCTCAAAGCGCCGACGGATCTCGTCCGCAGCCGCCGGCGGAGCAACAGGCACGCTCGCGGCAGGACGCGCGGGAGGAAGTGGACGGGGAGCAGGATCAACCTCCACGGCGCGGTCACAGCCCAGAGCACCGAGGAAGTCCATCGGCCTCCGCTCTAGGCGCGCCACTGGCCCGGGACGGGCCGATGACCCCGATCCCCCAGGCGCAACAGGCCGCACCAGTGGCCGCCACTCCGAGGAGCGGGCGGGGAAGCACGCGGGGAAGAGGCGGGCGTCGAGGAGCACGCGGAGTACAGCGCAGCGCAGGCCTCGCGGCAAGGGGGAACCCCCGCCAGCCACCGAGCCCAATCTGGTTAGGGGAGCCGGCGGAACGAGTCACGCGCCAGTCGTTCGCCAGGCGCGGGGCGAGGGGTGGAAGGACAGCGCAAGCAGGGAGAAATGGCGATACAAATGCAGAGGGGAGTGGCGACGAATATGTACCGTCGGATCTGAGGCAACCCGACAATCCCGACTCACCCCGCGCGGGAGCAGGGGCGGAGCAGGCGCAGCTGCAGGAGAGAGGATTGGGCCGCCGACAGAACCGCAGACCCCAACCCCCCCCGGACCAGGCCCTCTCAGCATCCCAGCTGGCATCGAGGGACGATCTCTTTGAGATCGCGATGAGCTGGGACTTGTCTACCCTAACATCGACCTCTCACCTGCCTATCGTCCGCCGCCTGCCGCCGCAGATCCTAAGCGACTATTCCACCTGTATGCTGGCAGCGCTCCTACGGATCTCCAAGCTGCCAAACTGCGCGGGAGCTTGGCGGGTCCTCATGTTTCTGCCACGTCTGACCCTACGACTTAGCAGGAGGTCCAGCTCTAGGTGGAAGGTGCTGCGAGAACAAATGCACCTATTCAGATGTGGCCACTGGAACCAGCTGTACAGTGACTACACGGGGTCCCTGCACCAAGCCGAACCACCTCAGCACCAAAATGACCCCCTGGGAATCTGCTCACGAGTGGAGGGGCTGGTGAAACGGGGTAACCTGCGAAAAGCACTTGCAGCCCTCCAACCCTCGCCAGCAGCCCCTGCGACAACCGCGACACTACAGCAGTTGGAATCGAAACATCCCCAACCCCAAATTGACCTGCCCGACTGGGTCCACACCTACACAACACCCACGCAATTTTCGTGCACCACGGAAAACTTCTCAAACGTTCTTGGGGATTGCCCCAGCGGTGTTGGGGCTGGTCCATCTGGGTCAACATTTGAACATTACCGCGACCCAGCCCTAAGTAACATCGAAGTACTAGGGCACCTGCACTCCGCCGTAACCCACCTCCTCTCGACAAACCTCTCCGCCGAGGTTGCAGCACTACTCTCGCCATCCCGCCTCATTGCATTCGCGAAACCAGGGGGGGGGGTACGCCCTATAGCGATAGGAGAATCCCTGCTCCGGCTGGCAGCAAAGGTTGCACTCTCAGAACTGCAAGGAGAAACAAGGCGATTTTTCTTACCCCAACAATTCGGCGTGGCAGTCCCAGGCGGGGCCGAGTTCGTTATCCACGCAGTCAGAGACCTCACCACTTCACATCCATCAAGCCTAGTCCTCCAACTCGACATCGAAAACGCATTCAACTCCGTAGAGAGGATAGCGTTCTTTAACGCACTCACCAACACCCCGCTCGCCCCACTCATTCCCTTCACACGCTCCTTCTATGCGACGCCTTCACAGCTGCTGACCGATCCCCGCTTAAGCACAACGGCACTCACCAGTGGTAGGGGAGTTAGGCAGGGGGACCCCCTTGGACCCCTTCTATTCGCGGCTTCAATCCAGCAGCACCTCAGACGCGTAGCAACAGAACACCCCGAAGTCACAGTCCTAGCATACGCAGATGACATCACCCTGATTGGACCGGCGACAGCAACGCTAGACGCACTAAAGGTACTGACACCGCTGCTAGCCCAGGACGGCCTCACCTGCAACCTCCGAAAATCGTCGGCCTGGTCCTCCTCGCCGATCGAAGGTAATGAGCTCCCTGAGGGCCTTCCCCTCACCCACGAGGGGGTACGGGTGCTAGGAAGCCCTGTGGGGTCACAGCGCTTCTGCGCTGACCTCGTCCGCAGTACCTTGACTGACGCGGCGGCACCCCTGGGCTCCTTAGCATCCATCCATCCACAGCATACCCTCCTGCTCCTATCTCGCTGCATCAGCCGCAGAATAGGCTACCTGCTGCGCACCACTCCGGCAGACGCCCTACCTCTCTCAGAATGGCATACGTGGTGCGCCGAACTGCTCAACACTGCCTTAACCGCCGCCAGCATCCAACCACCCCGCCATGACATAGAGTTCAACTTCCTACTTCGCCAAGCAACCCTCCCAGTAGCACTAGGTGGGCTAGGCCTCACGGACCCCACAACAGAAGCAGCACCAGCCTACCTGGCTTCGACAACAGAGGCGCTACGCCTACTCCGCTCACTTGACCTCCCAGCAACCTCGGCGCTAGGGAGCAACAGCAACGCTCTACAGCCGTCGGCAGCACACTCGGTCACCATCCAAGACATGGAGGGACGACTGCCACCACTGGCACTGCAAATCCTCCGCGGGGAACAGGAATCCCCGTCCCAAGACCAGCTGCAGCGCGCCCTTTCCCAGGAAGTACATGCGGCAAAGGCCGACGGCCTGACAGAGGAATCACGCGCAATCAGGTCTGCCCCCGAGATGGGGCACACACTCCGCCTCGTCAGCCTGAGAGGTGAGGGAGCGGGGGCATGGCTGCAGGCCCTACCCCTAACCCCAGATCTCTGCTTTTCACCAGGGCAATTCCGAACAGCCCTGGCCTTCCGCATGGGCATCCGGCAGAACGTACCCACCGTGTGCGAATGTGGAGAGCTCGTAGCCGACTGCAGCCTCCCCAACCACTTACTCCGCTGCAGCACAGGCCCTGACCGAACACGCACACACAACCAGCTGGCTTTCGCCGTGGCTAAAATGGCGAGGGAGGCACAGCTGGTGGTATACCTGGAGAACGCGATGTACTCACCACCGGATGACCCGAAGAAGGCAGATGTGATTGTACGCGACCCAGACAGTGGTGAAACATGGATCACAGACACGACCATCACTGACCCCGTGCTACAGAACCGTGACCCAGCAGCCCGCAAACCCCCTGGATGGGCTGCAAGGGAGGCTCAGAAAAGGAAGGAACGGGACTACTACAGGCACACAGAACACGTGGTGTTCTGCGCCCTAGCCGTTGAGACCTATGGGGCAAACGCACCCCCCACAGCCATGGGAATGGGTGCTGAGAGGGTCACTGAGGGAGGAGGAGGGTCAGAGGAATGGGCCAATGGGGCAGAGGGTCTAAAGGGAACCACAAATCAAACCGTATGCTTGTACCGCCGCTGAATTAATTCAAAGGACCATTTGAGAGAGAGAGAGCTGGTGGGAGATGGGAGGAGATGGGAGAAGGAAGAGACAGGGGAAAAAACGAAGTGGAAAGGTGAAGGGAAGGGTGCAGCACTGGATGAGAGAGGAGGTGAATGCCGCACACATGCGTTTTAGTTTTGAGACATCTCAAAACGAGAGAGGAGGTGAATGCCGCACACATGCGTTTTAGTTTCGAGACGTCTCAAAACGAGAGAGGAGGTGAATGCCGCACACATGCGTTTTAGTTTTGAGACATCTCAAAACGAGAGAGGAGGTGAATGCCGCACACATGCGTTTTAGTTTTGAGACGTCTCGAAACGAGAGAGGAGGTGAATGCAGCACACATGCGTTTTAGTTTTGAGACGTCTCAAAACGAGAGAGGAGGTAAATGCCGCACACATGCGTTTAGTTTTGAGACGTCTCAAAACGAGAGAGAAGGTGAATGCTGCACACATGCGTTTTAGTTTTGAGACGTCTCAAAACGAGAGAGGAGGTGAATGCCGCACACATGCGTTTTAGTTTTGAGACGTCTCAAAACGAGAGAGGAGTTGAATGCCACACACATGCGTTTTTTGCGGACCCCTAGTCTTGAAGACGACCTACACATCTGTGTCGGCTCGTCTCGGGCTAGGGGTAGTTTTGAGACGTCTCAAAACTAGATTACTATCACGCGGATTATATACAGAGAGGATGTTTGTTGCTTGGAAAGCTGGGTGTAACTTGCAAAAGTTACTTGTTCGCGCGAGGCTCCCGAAGCTACAGTTGGCGAAGAATGAGGATTCCACGTTACGCCTCGAGGAATGAAGACCTGAGCCCCTCGGACTTTTCCAGGGTGCTTTGGATTGGCTGCCCAGATTTCAGCTACGGTTGTTACACGCCTAGAATTTGGTTTCTTGAAACGTAGTTCTTGCTTAAGGGCTTCGTTCCCACTCTTGTCTTTCATTCTGCTTGCGCTGATGAAGGTTTGACTTGGGGCCTGTCCCAGTCTACCGAAACATGTTAGCGTTTTAATCCTAGTGGAATAAGAGTTCAGTTTTCAGATTCTCGGTTTTTAAACAGGGTCAATTTTTACTACTGACTATCATTTGCTGAAGTTTTTTTCTAGACTGCAGCTCGCCTAAACAAGCTTCTATGGCTCACACAGTGTGCAGATCTGCTCCACATGCCTCCCCACCGGCAGAGCATCACAAACCTTCCCGCCGCATCACAAACCTCCCCAACACACAGCACTCCTCCACACGCACCTGTGACTCCCTCGTCTTCATCTTGAGCCTCTGCGCTTCTGCCAGCAGCTGCTGGGTTGATCATCTCACCAAGGCACCACATCACAAACCTTCTCACCACGTCACAAACCTTTCTACCGCACATCACTCCTCCCACCTGGGACTCCCTCGTCTTCATCTTAAGCCTCTGTGCCTCTGCCAGCAGCTGCCCTCGCCTCTTGAGCACCTCCAGCTTCTGCTCCGCTATCTCAGCCTGGGTAAGGATTGGTGGAAGGGGAGTGGGAGGGCGAGAATGGGGGGGCCAAGCAAGTAATAGGCGTGACTCAGGCTGAACGGCCAGCAGCTGCCCTCGCCTCTTGAGCACCTCCAGCTTCTGCTTTGCCATCTCAGCCTGGAAGGGGAATGAGGGGGAGAGGGGGGGAAGGGCAAGTAAACCCTTGAGCACAAACCCTCAACCCTAACCCTTCACGTGAAGCTGCCCTCGCCTCTTGAGCACCTCCAGCTTCTGCTCCGCTATCTCAGCCTGGTAAGGATTGGTGGAAGGGGAATGGGAGGGCGAGAATGGGGGGGCCAAGCAAGTAATAGGTGTGACTCTGACTGAATGGCCAGCAGCTTCCCTCGCCTCTTGAGCACCTCCAGCTTCTGCTCCGCTATCTCCGCCTGGAAGGGGAATGAGGGGCAGAGGGGGGGAAGGGCAAGTAAACCCTTGAGCACAAACCCTCAACCCTAACCCGGCACGTGCAGCTGCCCTCGCCTCTTGAGCACCTCCAGCTTCTGCTCCGCTATCTCCGCCTGGAAGGGGAGAAAGAAGGGGGCGAGAAGAAGGGGGAAAGGGGGTGCTCAAGGGTCTTTCAGATTCAGGCTGCACGGGAAGCTGCGCGAGAAGGAGGAAGGGGGTGGGTGGGACGGGATGTGCATTGTGCAGTGCAGGCGTTAACAGGAGGGAAAATGTAAGCCCAACGCCCGAACGGAACATAAAAAGAAATCGAATCGGGGTTTTGCGTGTGCAGGTGCCACAGCGGATGGGGGCGTCGTGAGCAATGCCATTCAGTTAGTGAAAGGGGTATGCTTGGCTTGGCTGCTTGACCAGCTAGTTAATCACCATGAAAAGAGGATGTTTGGCCAGCTAGTTAATCACATTAAAAAGAGGATGTTTGGCCAGCGAGTTAATCACATTGAAAAGAGGACGTTTGGCCAGCTTGCTCTCCCCTCATCGATGGAATGCACGAGGTCCAAAAACGACTCGTCCGTGATGCCCATGTCCTGAGAGAGGGAGGGTCATGTCACGAGTGAGATTAAGTACGGCTGAGAGGTGCTCCTAGCTTGCTCTCCTCATCGATGGACTGCACGAGATCCAAAAACAGCTCATCCGTGATGCCCATGTCCTGAGAGAGGGAGGGTCATGTCACGAGTGAGATTAAGTACGGCTGAGACAGGTGCTCCTAGCTTGCTCTCCTCCTCATCGATGGAATGCACGAGGTCCAAAAACAGCTCGTCCGTGATGCCCATGTCCTGAGAGCGGGAGAGATGGCGAAGGGGTACACACAGTTGGAGTCGGATGGAGAAGAATTCGAGAATTCTTAACAGCGCACTCAGTGACTCACTCACTCACTCCCTCACTCGCCTGTACAGGGTCTAGGATTGGTAGCCCCGTCTTGGGACGTCTCGGCAGCGGTTCAGAGACGTCAACCAGCTCTAGAACTGCTGGGTGACATCTCTGAGTGTGAAGAGCACGGCCTGCCTTGCCTCCTCCTTGGGCTGAAGATGCCTCAAATCAAGTAGCCCACACATTCATTCTCTTCCTTCCTTCCCCCCTCCATAACTCACCTCAACAGGGTCTAGGATGGGCAGCCCATCAGGGAAGCACTGGTTGACGTCCTTGAGTGTGACCAGCACAGCCTGGCAGGGCGGGCCTCGTTTGGCCCTCCTCCCTCCCATCATTTCACTCACCTCTATAGGGTCCAGAATGGGCAGGCCATCGGGGAACCGTTGGGTGACGTCTCTGAGTGACACCAGTACGGCCTGCCGGGCCTCCTTGGGGCGTAGGTCAGTGGGCAGGGCGATTCTGAGCGCCCCTATGCGTGCCTTTGCTGGGAGCTTGACTGGGATCTGAGGAAAGGGGAGATGGAGGGAGGGAGGAGAGAAGGGGCTTAGGTCACAACCCTGATTGTCACCACACCAGCACAGCCTGCCGGGCCTCCTTGGGGCGCAGGTCTGTGGGCAGGGTGATTCTGAGCGCACCTATGCGGGCGACTGCTGGTAGTTTTACGGGGATCTGGAATACTCCGGAGGGAGGGGAGGAACGGAGGAAGGAGAGGGCAGGGCGACTCTGAGCACTGCTGTGCGGGCCACTGCTGGTAGTTTTACAGGGATCTGGAATACTCAGGAGGGACGGGAGGAACAGAGGGAGGAGAGGGCAGGGCGATTCTGAGCGCACCTATGCGGGCCACTGCTGGTAGTTTTACAGGGATCTGGAATATTCAGGAGGGACGGGAGGAACGGAGGGAGGAGAGGGCAGGGCGATTTTGAGCGCTGCTGTGCGCGCCGCTGCTGGGAGCTTCACCGGAATCTCGGGGGGATGGGGAGGAGAGGGCGGAAGAGAGGGAGGGGAGAGAGGGACGTGTGGGGCGAGAGGTGCAGCCACGTGCATCTCCCCATTCCCTTCCAGAGCGCATGGGCGCGGCACACGAGGAGCAGAGGTACCGGCCTCTCTGTCTGCCCACCACACAACACGCACACACCACACTGCACATACAAGCCACTCACTCAAAACGTGCATCTCCCCGTTCCCTTCCAAAGTGCACGGGCGCGGTACAAGAGGAGCAGAAGTGGGGGAAGAGGAGGGAGAGAGGGAACTCAACACGTGCATCTTCCCATTCCCTTCCAAAGCGCACGGGCGCGGCACAAGTGGAGCAGAAGCACCGTTGTCTCTGTCTGCCTATCCATCCGCCACCACAGGAGAGCACAGCAACATCCAAGGGGCACGTGCATTTCCCCGTGCCCTTCCATCGCACACGGGCGCAGCACAAGCGGAGCAGCAGCACTGCCCTCTCTGACCACCTGTTCGTCCACCACCGCGGGGGAGCACAGCAGCAACGTGTCCACCAGGTATGTCGTGGTGGAGAGCGGTGCAGCGGCAGCAGCAGAGGCGGTGGGCGAGGGGGCGGTGACGACTGATTTGGCGTTGCTTTGAGAGGGCTGCTTCATCACGTTCACGACCACTCCCCACCCCCAGTCGTCCAGACCATCCACCACCCGGATCTGATAAAGAGTGGGTGAGGGCATGGATGAAGAGGTTCATTGAGGGGGAGATGAGAGTGGAAGAGGTGTCGGTTTGAGAGGGCTGCTTCATCACGTTCACGATCACTCCCCACCCCCAGTCGTCTAGCCCATCCACAACCCAGATCTGCAAAGAACAGGGCAAAACAGAACAGGGTTGGGAAATGGATAAATGGGTGAAGAGTTAGTGGAAATGAGGGGGCGATGAGAGCGGAGGAGGTGTTGCTTTGAGAGGCCCGCTTCATGACCACATGGATTGCATCCTTCTATTCTATCCGTGCATTCATACATGACCATACTCTATTCTACATGGACTGCATCTTCACCACCAGCTGGCCCGGCTGAAGAATAAGCAAACATCTAGCACAAAATGCAGGCATCTGTCAGGCTGCAGCACCTCCGCCTTCAAGGCTTTCCAACATCCATCAACCAATCAAGCAAGCAAGTACTCATACACCACAGAGTCACATACTCCATACATCATAACCCATACCAGCGGCTCACCAATCTCCCCGGATGCAGGAAGTGCAGGCATCTGACGGGACACAACACCTCTGCTTTCAGCTGCCTCTCCTTCTCCGCTAGTGACAGGCGCAGCGCGTGGTACTCGCGGACCTCATCCTGTCAGGAGGAATGGTAAGGGAATGAGGCATTAAGAGCCAGTATGTATATGTGTACGCTGGAAAAGGCGGAGCTCCCTATTGCGTGCGTGCGTAAACTGACTGCCTGACAGAGGGATTCGCATGCGTTGGATCTTATTATGATACCACAAACCGTTTAGACGCTTCCTAACTGCTCTTTCCTCCCTCAAGCTTCCCTCCCCCACACCTATCTGCCTCATTCCTCCCTCCCTCACTCCTCCCTCCCCCGCTCCTCTCTCCCTCACTCCTCCTTCCCTCATTCCTCCCTCCCTCATTCATCGTCTCACCTCAGTGCCAGTCTCCAGCGCGTCTGCCTCTGCCTGTAGCTGCTTGATCCTCTTTTCCACCTCTGGTACTTGCTGGTGTGAGGGGGAGGAGCGGGGGATAACGGTAAGGGAAGAAAGAGAAGGGGCGAAACAAGAGAGAGACACACACTTGTCAGCTGCATGCGCATCTGCCTCTGTCAGTAGCTGCTTGATCCTCTTTTCCACCTCTGACACTAGCTCCAGGAGATGAAAGCAAGGGGATGATGGGAAGAGACCGTAATCTGCTTGTCGGGGATGAAAGGGAGGGTTTATTTTTTTAGGCTCCTCAAAAAGTGGCTGTCTTTGCCCGTAGCTGCTTGATCCTCTTCTCCTCCTCTGGTACTTGCTGGTGGGGATGACAGGAAGGGGGTGATAAGAAAAGAGAGTTGAGGGTCAGGAAGAAAAAGAAAAAAACAAAGGACACCCCCCCCCCCCCACACACCCACATGCACACACACACACCCACACGCACACGCACATACACACATACCCACACTTGTCCCTACATGTTCCCTCCCCCACCCCCTCACACACACACACGCACACACACACACACACACACACACACACACACACACACACACACACACACACACACACACACACACACACACACACACACACACACACACACACACACACACACACACACACACACACACACACACACACACACACACACACACACACACACACACACACACACACACACACACACACACACACACACACACACACACACACACACACACACACACACACACACACTGAGTGACACGCACAAAGACGCGCATGTACCCGGACGCGCAATAACGTGCTTTGCATTGAACTGCCCCTTGGCTCGAGCCATGAGGGTAAGGGTTTGACATCTAAGTTGCTACATCTGACACGCACTATGACAGGCACACACACACTGAAGCGCGTACCCAGTTGTGCTGGAACTGGTGGAAGGAGTGCGCAATCATATGCTCTGCGTTAAACTGCCCCTTGGCTCGAGCCATGAAGTTCAGCACCACGTAGTAGGTCAGGCGGAAGGATCTCTCCAGAGGAGGACAGCAGTGGGATAGCAGGGGGGGTGTCACGCAGTCACATACACTCACACAAGTCCCATACAGATGTACCCTGTCATGCTGGAACTGGTGAAATGAATGGGCAATAACATGCTCTGCGTTGAACTGGCTTGAGGTGCAGGCAGTAGGTCCCAAGTGTTAGTGTTAGCCCTCAATCTCACATTTTGTACTTGCATGTTTATGTCCTAGTGTAGTGTGCACTTTGTGTTTGGTTGGGTGTACACCCACATCCCAACCAAACCCAAATGTGATCTCCAATCCAAGCAATCTCCAACCCACCAATTGGAGATTGCCTTGGGATTACCCCCAATCTCTTAGGATCGCCCCCGATTCTCTCCCCATCCTTACCTTGCCCATTTCCGATGTACTTAAAAAGCATTGAGCTCATTACTAATGTATGGATTCTAAGCTCAAGTTCTCACATGGTATCAGAGCTCTTCAACCGCACACGCAGATCTTGATCCTACTACCTTTGCGGAATCCTCTCCTACACTCCTAGGCGAATCCGCTGTCAACATTCATCGCTCGACGTTAAGGATCGTCATCGACCTAATCTTCTCGGCCGGAATTTCTCCCGCGCCGTCCTCGTCGCCGTGATTCGCGACATCTTCCGTGGGCAGATTCTCTCTCGTGCTACCTTTTCCGCAATCACGGTGCATCGGTTTCTGCACTTTGCTAAAGGTAACCGTCACTATTGTTTGCTCGCCATTCACCCCATATCACCGTGGTTCTGTCCCGCTTTTCTTCTCGCTTCGGTGTAACCCTTTTCTTCTCATCTCGTCAATCTTCGGGCTGCCGCCCGTCGCCCTGCAGCGTCACTTCTTGTCGGGCTGATGCCCGTCACCTTGCAGCGTCACCTTCGGGCTGCCGCCCATCGCCCTGCAGCATCACGTCGGGCTGACGCCCGTTGCCCTGCAGCGCCATCTTCGGGCCGCCGCCCGTCGCCCCGCATCTGCACTTCTATCTATCCGCAGCTGAACAGGTGTAGCTGAGCAGCCGTGTAGCAGCGAAGCCGTGTAGCAGCGAAGCCGTGAAGCAGAGGGACAGGCCCGGGGGGGACTAGGGTTAGTTGACAGTTCTGAAATCGGCGGCCGTCATTGACGTTTTTTGCTCTTCGGGACCTTCGGATTTCGAAATCGCTAAACCTTTCTTCACAATTCTCCTTCGTAAACCCTACCATAAAATTCTCCTTCATAAACCCCACTTGACAATTCTCCTTCGAAAACCCTAAACCCGAAGTTCCTATTGGTGACTTAAGAGCAGCGCTACACGCGAGACCTAAAGGGTTCTTCGTCATGGCCTTCGCCTTGGCCAATCTCGCCAACCCCATCACCCCGCTTGCTCCGCCTTGAAGCCGACGGCACTAGTTCCAACTTTGAGGCATGGAGCTACGGGGTTGACAAGCACCTCTTGAGTCGTGAAGTGGGTGGACTAGACCTCAACCATGGCAAGGGAAAACAACCACCCATCCCCAAGGAGCCGTCCGATTCTTCCGATGCTGTGGCAACCCAGGAGTACGAGGAAGGTGTTGCCAAGTACCGCAAGTGGGAGAAGGCCGATGTGGCAATCATCAGCGTCTTCATTGGCTCCACCCCTCCCGAACTTGTCAGCACTTTCCACAACTATCCCACTTCCAATGCCATCTGGAAGCATCTCCAGGACAGATTCATGAACAAGACGGCGGTCAGGGTGGCCATTCTCATTCCAAGCATGTTCTAAGTCCGACTTGAGGATTGCCCTGGAATAGCCGAATACATCGCCAAGGTGCAAACCATCCATGGCAAGCTCAAGGAGTTGAGCATCATCTTTCCCGAACAGGCCCCTGCAGCTGCCCTTCTTGTCGGCCTCACCTCGGCGTACGAAGTCACGAGGAAAATGCTCCTCACATCCTCAGCGGAAGACCTCACTTTTGCTAAGGTCTCCTCTGCCCTCCTCTCTGCTAAGAAAGACTCCACGGCTCAAGCCAAGGCTTACGCTCTCCATGCTCCCGTGCCTCAAGCAAGTTTCGCCTCGGCACCCTTCCAGCGAAACCGCTTCCCTCCGTGCACCTACGTTGTCAAGTATGGCAACCGCAAGGGACAAGTGTGTGGTGGCATCAACCACTCCCTCGCTACGTGTTTTAAGAAGAAAGACAACAAATGACATGCCATCCACGGAGTCAACAAGAAGCCGCCGAACTGGATGCGGCCTCGTAAGGCCAACCTAGCTGAGGTCCAGGACCCCGCTTCGGCTAGTGCTAGTGATAGTGCTCCTGCTGATGTGCGTATCAACTTGCTGTTCCCTGGCACTGCCATGATTAATGAAGCAAGCTCCCAGTACATCGGCTCACCACAAGCACCACAATACATAGAATTCACACTCGATAGTGGTGCCACTCATACAGTGGTCAAGGAGACACTCTCCTTCAAACCCTAATCTACACCCATTCCTCTCTTGGGAGCTGATTCAAGCTTCACCACTTTTGCCAAGGGTTCGTCCACTGTTCCATGCCCCGCATTCCCATCCGGCACTGTCACTGGCATGTGCGTGCCCTCACTACACCACAATCTATTGGTCCAAAAGGAACTTCAGGAAGCTGGGCTCCGCACCATAATCTCGGAATACGAGGACTATTGTGACATCATTGAACCACTCACCAACAAGGTCTTAGCTCGCTTCACTCTCAACAGCAACGGCCTCTACACGCTGCGTGTACCTATCCCACAGGTGTCAACCGTCCAAGCACAGGCTGCTATCACACCATGCTCATGTCGCAGTTTCTCTAACCCGACTGTCCTCTACCACCATCGGCTCGGGCACCCAAACTTCCGCACGCTTGTTGACATGGCCTCCAAGAAGCTTCTTCTCGGCCTGCCAGCCTCATTTCCTCCACCACCTAACTCTCCCGCTCCCACGTACCTTGACTGTACCAAGAGCAAGCTACGCCAACAGCCCCACCCTGCCTCACCCTCAGTAGCAACAGCCCCACTAGATCTAGTGCACATGGACGTCTGGGGCCCTGCCCCGGTTGCCGCACGAGGTGGCCATCGCTATTTCCTTTTGATAGTTGATGACCACACTTGCTACGTCTCTGTGCACCTCCTCCACACTAAGGCTGAAACTCCAGAGGCCATCATGGCATGTGGTCAAGGGATTCACCCAGCAGCATTACTTAGACTTCTTCAAAACCTTCTCTCCCATATCCAAACCACCCACAGTTCGCATGCTCTTGGATGTAGCCGCACGAGAAGACTTTGAGATCAAATCCATGGACGCCTCTTCCGCGTTCCTGCAAGGACAAACTCAAGGAGACTGTGTTTATGGACCGACCTGAAGGCTTTCCAGGAGAGTTCCCTCCCAACACTGTCTGGAAGCCGAATCGCCCTGTTTATGGCCTCAAACAAGCCCCTCGTGAATCGCACAACAAATTGAAAGAAGTCCTTCTCTCATTGGACTTCCACCCATCATCTGCTGACCCGACTCTCTTCATTCGCCGTCACTCTGAGCCATTTTACATCCTTGTCTATGTCGATGACTTCATCCTCGTTGCCAAGGACTCGGCCCAGATGACCTCTGTCTAGGCGGCCCTGAGCAAGGCCCTCATGATGAAAGACCTCGGTGACCTCAAGCACTACCTGTGGATGGAAATCACTCGTGATTGCCAGGCTCGCACTATCTCACTCTCCCAGGAGCTCTACATCAACAATGTGCTCAAGCGCTTTAAGATGGAGTTGTGCATACCCATGGCCACCTCGGTGCCACTGCAGTACCTCCTCACAGCTCCAACTGTTCCCACACCTGAGGCCTGCTTCGAGACATACCCAGAGCTTGTTAGGTCCCTCATGTACGCCATGATGTGCACCCGACCTGACCTGGCATACCCTGTTAGTGTTCTCTCTCGTTATGTGGCTCCTGGACGCTTCACCGATCTCCACTGAAGTGCGGCGAAGCGGGTGTTGCGCTATCTGAAGGGCACCAAGTCTCATGTACGCACACTTGGCGGTCTTTCTCCTCCTTGCCTGGAAGGCTACACTAACTCCTCTTCGGCTGATGACCAGACCGACCAAACTCCTCCCATGGCTACTGTTTCACCCTTGGCAGTGGAGTTGTTAGCTGGCGCTCCACCAGGTCATCTGCAGTCTCCCTCTCCTCCTGTGAGGCAGAGCTTTACGCTGGCACCATGGTGGCTCAAGAGGCCCGTTGGCTCACCTTCCTCCTCCAGAAGCTTGGCTACCCTCAGCCCACCCCCACTCTCTGGTGTGACAACAAGAGTACTATCCACCTTTCCCAGGATCCTGTGTACCACACTTGCATCAAGCACATCGAACTTCGCCACTTCTTCATTCGTGACCTTGTCCAGCGTGAACAGCTGAACGTGGAGTACATTGCATTTGACTGCAACCTGGCTGATCTGTTCACCAAACCCCTTGGGAAGTTTTCTCACCATCCTCTCTTTGGCACCATGGGGATATGTGCCCCACCTTCTCACCTTTGAGTCCGATTGACGTCTATGGGGGGGTGTTAGTGTTAGCCCTCAATCTCACATTTTGTACTTGCACTTTTATATTCTATTGTAGTGTGCACTTCGTGTCTGGTTGGGTGTACACCCACATCCCAACCAAACCCAAATGTGATCTCCAGGCAATTTCCAACCCACCAATTGGAGATTGCTTTGGGATTAACCCCAATCTCCTACAATTGCCCCCGATTCTCTCCCCATCCTTACCTTGCCCATTTCCGATGTACTTAAAGAGCCTTGAGCTCATTACTAATGTATGGATTCTAAGTTCAAGTTCTCACACCAAGAAGCACGCACACACGCATGTACGTACCCTTTCGTGCTGGAACTGGTGGAACGAATGGGCAATCACATGCTCCGCGTTAAACTGCCCCTCGGCTCGAGCCATGAGGGGAAGGGGTTGATACCTAACCTACTGCCTCTGCTCCGCTGAGGCGCGTACCCTGTCGTGCTGGAACTGGTGGAAGGAGTGGGCAATCACATGCTCCGCGTTGAACTGCCCCTTGAGGTACAGATAGCAGGTGAGTAAGCGGTCACACACATACACACGTACCCTGTCGTGTTGGAACTGGTGAAACGAATGGGCAATCACATTCTCCACGTTGAAATGGCTAGAGGTGCAGGCAGTAGGTCCCAAGTAGCACACACACACACATGCACATACCCTGTCGTGCTGGAACTGGTGAAAGGGGTGTGCAATCACATGCTCCGCGTTGAACTGCCCCTCGGCTCGAGCCATGAGGTTCAGCAGTGCATAGTAGGTCAGGTGGAAGGAGCTCTCTAGAGGGGCTGGCTTTCCTAGCATCATCTCCTTGCATGCCTCCATGGTCATCTGGGGGCGAGGAGGATGAGACGAAAAGGAAGAAGGCAGGAGGCATCACATGATTGCAGAGAGACTAGTGTCTTTGGAAATGCATAGACAGGCATCGAAAAGTGCTCATGTGTCGAAGGAACCATCATATACGTATTTCATATGGTGCGATGCGATGTGCATGGAGACAAAATAAAGCACCGTTCTCCACCTCCCATCACCCCTCCTCACCTCCTCATTGACCATCACTATGACAAACTCCCTTTGCCTCACCCCGTTCCACCTCCCAACACTCCTTCATCACCCCTCCTCACCTCCTCATTGACTATCACTATGACAGTTCCTTTGCTGTCCTTCCGTTCCCTCTCCGTCCTGCGTGCCCACTCATCTGATGGGTGGGTGGGAATGGGGAGGGTGGTGCATGGGGGTTGGGGGAGGATTAGGAGCTGTCCTTCCCTCTCTGCCCCGCGCGCCCACTCATCTGACGAAATTTGGGGGGAGTTGGGGAAGGGGGAGGAGAGGGGGAGTAGAGGAGAGCGAGAGGGGGAAGGAAAGGTTGGGGCATTGTAAAACGTTTCCAAATGCTCTCACGGCATTTGGTTCCAAGTGTGGGGAAGTGACTCTGCAAACCTGGTTGGAGTTTTGGTTCAATTTCAAAGTGTGGTTGGAAATTGGTTCAAGATGAGGTTGGTACACATAGATAAAGGGATCTACATCCATCCCACTCGTGTGTAGCATGGTTGTAAGTGGAGGCAAGACAAGATGGGGCTGGGAGCGGATCAGATCAGACACACACACCCACCTGGATATATTCCCCCAAGTGCATGGCCCTGTTGGCCTCGCCATCCCACTTATGCGTTGCTTTAAAGACCATGGTGGAGTGTAGGCAAGGCAAGAAAGACAAAGCACACTCACATGCTTCAATAGATGGGTCAAACCCTCCATCCCCCCCATCATGTCACATCCACCCACCCACCTAAATATACTCCCCCGAGTGCATGGCTCTGTTGGCCTCGCCATCCCACTTGTGTGCGGCCGTGAAGACCATGGTGCGAGCCGGCATGTTGAGACCCATGGCGAACTGCAGAGGAGTTCAGGGAGATGCGAAGGGAGAACAGAAGGGTTATGAGGCCCGTGTGTGTGGCTGTAAAGACCACGGTGTGACCTGGCATGTTGATTGAGACCCATGGCGAACTGCAGAGGGGTTGGTAAAGAGGATATTTTCAAGATGCCTCAGGATTTGGTATAGGGGAGAGGCGAAGGGAGAACAGATGAGATATAAGGCATTTATGTGTGGCTGTGAAGAAGACCACAGTGCGCTCTGGCATGTTGAGACCCATGGCGAACTGGAGAGGGGTGGATTGTGTGATGTCGCTGAGAGGGGGGGAGCGGGAGGACGGTGGGGTCGGGGATGTTTATGAGACACTTGCGCGTGGTTGTGAAAACCATAGTGCGAGCTGGCATGGTGAGACCCATAACAAACTGAAGAAGGTTTGGTATAAGAAAGGAGCGCGGAGAGGGGTTGCGATGTGTTAGTGTGGAAAACGAGGGTTATGAGAGGGCTATGAGATAATTATGTGAGGGTTTTGATGAGAGGGTTATGTGATGGGCTCCTTGAGATTGGGATGAGGAGAGGAGGGGGATGCGAGTGGTGCAACCCCAGAAGCAACACCAGCAAAACAACCAGTAGCAGCTGAAAGCGCAACTCACCATTTCAGTTGCAAAATGCACTTTGAGCAGCCCCTCCTGGAAGAGAATTTCAATGAGTTCCTTTAGGATGGGCAGCATCCCCGAGTGTCAGTGGTGCACTCCCATCCCACGCCAATCTCACTCATGACTTACGTGAGCAACTACTCACCATTCCGTTGCAAACATAAATTTCAAAAGCCCCTCGTGGAAAATAATTCCGATTAGCTCCTTGAGGACGGGCGGCAGAGCAGCTGCGAGTGGTGCACTCCCACTCCCCCACCCGCCTCTCTCCTGCATTCAGCAGCCACACACTACGACACACCAACTCACTGTTTCAATAGCAAATAGAACTTCCAAAAGCCCCTCTTGGAAGAGGATCTTGATGAGCTGCTTAAGGATGGGCAGCAGCCCCGAGTGGTGCACTCCCATCCCACGCCCCTCTTACGCCGACTCCATACTCTACCACCTACATCAACATGCCACGCCCAACCCACTCGTTAGCATCAGCTCCTCACCATTTCAGTAGCAAAGAAAACTTTGAGCATTCCTTCCTGAAAAAGGATCTCGATGAGCTCCTAGAGGATGGGCAGCAGCCCCGAGTGGTGCACTCCCACGCCCCTCTCATGGGCAACTGCAGCAACAAACTAGCTAGCTACCACACGAGAAGCAGCAACAGCAGCAGCAGCAGCAGCAGCAACGCAAGTACAACAACCAACTCACCGTTTCAGTGGCAAAGAGCACTTTAAGGAGCCCCTCTTGAAAGAGGATCTCGATGAGCTCCTTGAGGATGGGCAGCAGCAGCCCTGAGTGGTGCACTCCCATGCCCCTCCCACGCGCTACCAAATGCAGCAACACACCACGCCCTACCCACGCGCTACCAAATGCAGCAACACGCCACGCCCTACCCAAGCGCTACCAAATGCAGCAACACGCCACCCCTTACCCACGCGCTACCAACAGCTCCTTACCGTTTCGGTGGCGAAGAGAAATTTCAACAGCCCTTCTTGGAAGAGTATTTCGATGAGCTCCTTGAGGATGGGCAGCAGCCTTGAGTGGTGCACTCCCTCCCACGCCAGCCCACCCACTCGCGACCAGCAGCCGCAGCAAAACTCAGTGACTCACGGTTTCAGTAGCGAAGAGCACTTTGAGGAGTCCCTCTTGAAAAAGGATCTCAATAAGTTCCTTGAGGATGGGCAGCAGCCCTGAGTGGTGCACTCCCACGCCCCTCTCTTCCCCAACCCACTCGTTACCAGCTGCAGCAACACACCAGCAACCCATAGTCTCACTCACCGTTTCAGTGGCAAACAACACTTTCAAAAGCCCCTCTTGAAAGAGAATCTCGATGAGTTCCTTGAGGATGGGCAGCAGCCCCGAGTGAGTGGTGCACTCCCACGCTCCTCTGTAGCAGTGGGAACATCTGCCGCACTGCTGGGGGATCCTGGTCTTCAGTGGGCAGCACAGAGATAGCGTTGTTGAACACCTGAATGAGGAGCAAGAGGGGTTGGGAGCAACACGGGGAGTGGGTGAGCGAGCAGAGGATGGGCAGTATCCCCGAGTGGTGCACTCCCACACCCCTCTGTCGCAGCGGGAGCATATGCCGCACTCCTGGGAGATCCTGGTTTTCAGAGGGGAGCACAGAGATAGCATTATTGAACACCTGAGTGGGAGGGGATGGGGAAGGGAGGCAAGGCAGGGAAGGCCAGAGAGGTCCTGTGAGTAAGGCTGCAGCAGCAGCCCCGAGTGGTGCACTCCTACGCCCCTCTGCAGCAGCGGCAGCATCTGCCTCACTGCTGGGAGATCTTGGTCTTAAGTGGTCAGCACAGAGATAGCATTGTTAAACATCTGTATGAGGAGCAAGAGGGGGTGGGAGCAACACAGGGAGTGAGTGAGGGAAGGATGGGCAGCAGCCCCGAGTGGTGCATGGAAAGGGAGAGGAGAGTTAATGTTAGTGCAAGAAAGGGAGTGGTGGGAAAAGCAGCAGCAGCAGCCCCAAGTGGTGCACACCCACGCCCCTCTGCAGCAGCAGCATTTGCCACACAGCCGGTAGGGGCCTGGTCTCGATCCCCTCTCCTCGTTGTTAAAGCCCAGCTTGAACAGCTGCACGGCGTATGCCTCACACTCACAGCTGCATATCCCCACCACTGACATTCAGACCATTCCCCACCTCCTTGCACCGCTCCTCACCTCCTTGACCATCTTGCTCTCCTCCTCGCTGTTGAAGTCCAGCTTGCTCAGCTGCATCGCGTACGCCTCAGACTCGCAGCGGCGGAAGCTGAAGACGATCATGGGATGGAAGTCCAGCTCAGAGCACGTCTGTAGGGAGAGGGCAAACGGGGGAGAGTGTATAGAGAGTGAGGGTGGGGAAGCTGAAGACAATCATTGGATGGAAGTCCAGCTTGGAGCAGGTCTGCATGGGGGGGTTTTGGGGGGTTTGGGACGGGAGCGGGGGCAGGGGGAGAAAAACTCAGATTCGAGCAGAAAAGGCGAGGGATAATGAGGAGATGATTGCAGAGGAGAGGATCGGAGACGAGGAGAACGAACAAAGACCCAGGGAATCGGAAATGGAGACTCAGGTAAGGAGAAAGACCACCCTCCTTTTTTTAAGGCATCTCGAAAATAGACTCACCTTCACTATCTTGTAGATATCCGAAGGCCCTCCGCCTGCTCCTCTCCCTCCTTCCCCACCCCTCCCTCCCCTTCCTCCTCTCCCCCCCCTTCCCCCTCTTCCTCTCCCTCTCCCTGCAAACCCAGCAGCTTCTGGAATCGCCTCCGCCGCCGCCTCCTTCGCTTTAGCGAAAATCTTAGCTAAGCGATTGAAATTCTTCTCGATAAACTTCCCCTGCTCGTTCACCATCAGGTTCAGCACATCCCCGCCATAAGGAAAAGCGAAATGCTGCCAAGGGAGTCGGGCGGTAATCCGTGTACACCACGTGACACGGCTGCTTATGCAGATAAGTAATCCACTCGACAAACTCCCGCGCATTCGACAGCGTAGCCGACAAAAACACCATTTTAACATCTGGAGGAAGGAAAATAATACTCTCTTCCCAAACCACGCCCCGTTCCCAGTCCCGCGTGTAGTGAATCTCGTCGAAGATCACCCAAGCCACTTCCCGAAGCACTTCCGAGCCTCAGTCGAGCATGGATCGGAGGATTTTGGTGGTCATGACGATGCAGGCAGCGTTGGGGGAGATGGTGACGTCACCCGTCATCAGCCCCACATCACTGGATTCTTTGCTTAATTACCGGTACTTCTGGTTGCTCAGGGCCTAAGGGAGTCGGGAAGGGGTGGGGCGGAAGAGGGGGAAAGAAGGAGTAGAGGGAAGAGGGCCAGGAAGAGGAGAAGAAAGCGAAGATTTTGAGTTTTGAGATGTCTGAAAACGTGAGCCTCAGTGGGTAGAGCATGGATCGGAGGATCTCGGTGGTCATGACGACGCAGGCAGCGTTGAGGGCGATGGTGACGTCACCCGTCATCAGCCCCACGTCGCTGAATTCTTCGCTTAGATCCCGATACTTCTGGTTGCTCGGAGCCTGACGTGAGTGGGGAAGGGAAGGGGGAGGAGCGGGGAGGACAAAGGGGGCAAGGACAGGGGAGATGGTGACGTCACCCGTCATCAGCCCCACGTCGCTGAATTCTTCACTTAACTCCCAGTGCTTCTGATTGCTCAGAGCCTGGTGGGAGTGAGGGATGGGGGGAGTGCAGGGAGGTGTAAGAATAGGAGCGACAATGGCTTGCCCGTCACCCATCATCTGCCCCACGTCAGTGAACCCCTCACTGAGCTCTCGGTACTTCTGGTTGCTCAGAGCCTGAACGGGGGAGGGGAAGAGAGAAGGGGAGGCGGGGTGTACGGACGGAGCAACATTGGAGTGGGGCCACTTGTCATCGGCCCCACGTCGCTTAACTGCTCACTCAACTCCCGGTACTTTTGAACTGCTCACTCAGCTCAAAGCCTGGCGTGTTGGGGGGATGGGGATGGGAGGGGTGGTGTGAGAACGGGACCGATGGCAACGTGATGTCACCCGTCATCGACCGGTGCTGTTGATCACAGTAAGGCACACAACACTCAACCCTCAACCCCCTCAACCCCGAAACCTGAAACCCTCGACCCTCAAACCCGAAATTTAGCAAAAATAAACCCCGGTTTCTAAGTTGCAACGGAATCACAAGTCCCCATCCTCTTTTAAAAAACAGCCTGCCTCAGTCAATTTTACTTTGAAAAGCAACCAACTTTAGAGCAGACCTACCTTAAGAGGAGATGTGTAAATGACTCTTTGCTTGTCGCGAAACGCCATCGCGTTTGCATATTCAGCAACGGCCGTCTTTCTCGCCGACGTGTGCGCTGCCACGAGCACGGACTCCCTCAACTCCAAGCACGCTATCGAGGTTGCTCAGTACCCATGACGCCGAACCCCGACAACCCAGTCCCATGAACGCAACATTTCCACGTCAGCCCATCGTTCCACGTCAGCCTCCTCCGCCCATGCGTCCCGTTAACGAGTCAACTGCCACGCAGCCGCTCATCCAGCATGACACGACCACCGACAGAGCTCATCTTCACACTTGAAAAAAATACAGAGCCACCGAGTTCGCGACTCACGTGGAGCCCACAGGATCGAGTTCTTGATTCGTTGGAAAGATCGCACACCCACGGAAGATAACTGGGTGCAGGGCTGATTTTATCAGGGTAATTACCCTGATTTCAAGGTGATTTCAGGCTTTCCACTTTGCGGAGACTGAGATTTCAGAATTACTGAGTTCTCAACCCTGTTCAAATCAGAGTAATAGTTTTCATATCCCTGATTTACAGTATAGTGTAACAAACTCGCCTGTTAGTGGATCCTGACTTAATAGGGTATCGAATTTGTGGTCCCTGATTTTGACCTTATCGAGAGGAAGTTTCTTGGAAATTTCCTTACAATATCCCCCTTCGGATTGATTGCAGTACAGCCAGCGCGTGAGCGACGGACAGCAGCATGTCTGACAGTCGAGTACACTCGATGTTTGTTGTTTTCACGAATTGCGAATAAATTGCTCTACTGTCGCATTTGCGTCTGCGTGAAGTTACCAGAACTTATTTGCTTTTCGCACAGCGATGTTGGCGACATTCAGGTACTCGGCGAATTAAAAACTTGACACATCTGTGGTATCGAATCGAAATGTTAAAACGTGTGGATAAATACTAGTTTGTAAAACTAAACGGGTGGAAATTAGCGCACTCACGGTGTGCGCGAAACACAGAGCGCAGACTTTACGCAGAGCGAGACTTTTTCCCCTGTAACAAAGGGTGCGTTACTACTCTGATCTTCGTTTCTCGACCTTGAACAACCAGAGTTATATACTTTTCAACCCTGAGCAATCAGGGTAGCATCATTCTGAAAAATGTGCACTCATAATTGAAGGGAAAATTTTTCCCCGGAATCAGGGAGGCCTAATATGAAACGTCAGCCCTGGCTGGGTGCCCCTGGATAAAATCGAGAACCACCCCGTCCTCACCAATTATCTGTGCAGCCGCAATTTCCGGGATGTACACGCACTCTCGTAAGGGGGGCCTCCTTGGGGAGGGGGGTAGTGGGAACATTCCCTTCTCCTTACTTCACGCCCCTACTTAGCGCGTACACGACTGTTTTCGCCAACTGTACCCAACAGTAAACCGTTACCATTCACGACACTCGCCCCGGCCACTGTTTCCTGCCACTGTTCACATCGCGACCCAACCTTACGGCTCGGTTGGTAACCCGCGCTCCGATCCTCCACTTCGACAATTCCCAACCTCGGCACCAGGCAAATCGCGCACCCCACATTCCATGCGTTACCGTTACCAGGCCCTCAGATTCACTTTGAGGCACGTAAGGGTATCAGGGTCCCTCTGGCCCTAGACCCTGATCGACAGGGTCGCCTAGGAAAAAAGCCTGAAAGTTCAGTGTGTCACCTATAGAAAAAGGCTGATAGTAGTGAAGCTGATTTTTTAACTTAAAACTCTATGAAGGTCGCAAACAACCTTCAATCTATCTATCTGTGTTGTAAACCAAAGCCTATCTTGCTTGCTAGGTGACGCAGTATATCAACCGCGCTCGAAATCTGCGCGATCAACTTCAGAAGTGTGGAGGGTACTTCCCCGACGCTATGTTCCACACGGTGCTACTCGCGGGTCTTGGACCAGAATGGCGACAGTGTCGCTCTATACTTCGGATGCAAGCACAGTTGTCCGAGGGGGCACTCTGTGCCGCTCTCATCGCCGAGCAGCAGGATATGGACCTGCACAACGCTCGAGGAGGGAAAAAGATGGTAAACAATACAGTCAGCTTTTATTCTAATCCACGTCACAAGCCCGTTTGTTCTTTTTGTCGAAAAACAGGACACACTATTGATACCTGCTGGTCGAAAGATAAACCATCTTGGAAGCGGTCTGCATCGAAACATACCAAAGATTCTTCAAGTGAAGCTGAGAAGCCGGAAGCTGAGAAGCCTGACGCTGCGAAGCTGAATTCTGCGAAGCCGGACCCTACGAAGACACAGTCAAAGCAAGTTATTACCTGCATGACATCAGTTTCAACGGTTTATGATCCTGATGCTGAAGAGCGGATTCACAACCGGTTCAACGACGAACTCAACACACCGATTCCACCTGAGGTCTATGCAAATCTTGCACATACTATTGCAGGTCCCAATACTTGGTACCTCGACAGTTGCTGCGGTCAGCACATGTGTTCGTTAGAGACGCGTTTCATTGTGAATCAACGCCGTCTGCAGAATCCCGTTGTCGTCACGGTTGCCAATAACCAACGGCTTACAGCTCACTGGATGGGAAGTATCGTTCTGGACTCAGTTGAAGAAGACTCCTGTCTTCATCTGAACGAAGTTCTTCTGGTCCCTCGGCTTGGCTTCAACCTCATGTCATCTGCACAGCTCATGAAGAACGGGATTACACTTCTCGGTGAACCTGGGAAATTCAATTTGAAGTACGGCGACAAGAAACTCGGCACGGCAGTTGAGCAAAACGGTGTTTTCGTTTTGAACTTCATACCTGAGCGCACTACTGCCGACTCTGATAACATTCTCTCGCTTGGTCCTTGGGAGCATCGCGACGACATTGATTACACCGACGATACAGTTCCACGTGAGGGAGTTGTCCCGACGTCTTCAACCACGGCTGCCGCCGTCATGTTGACCTTCGACAATCAAGGCTTGAATGATGTTCAGTCCTCCCGAGAGTACATGGCTGCTGTTGAAGGTTGGGGTGATCCGACGAACATGCCGACTGATGACGGCATCTGGGGGGCTGACGAACCCGATGAAACAACTTGGGGCGAGCCGCCTGCTGCACGCGATGATCGTCTTCTCGCTGAAGCTGAGCAACGCATCGCTGATATGGAGATTCTTGACTCGGGTCGTCTCGTTGGAGTTGAACCTGTACCTGCAGCATCCGATCAAGAAAGCGGCGAGTTAGTACTTGCTCCAGGCGAGTACATGGATGTTGAGGTTCGTGTTCCACCACCAAATCTTACTCGTTACGTCGCACCTGCTTTCGATCAGATCCGCTCCGATGGTCATCAGCTTCTGTTGTCGTTCTTCGCTAACGCCGCGTATTACCTGCGCGCACAAGGTCACAAAGCCACGGGAGAAACATGGCATAAGCGACTTGGTCATCCGTCGCAGTCTACGCTAAACAACACGATCAAGGCTGCAGTGCTTGACAAGAATTCGTTACTCTTACCGAGCGGTCTCGAACTGAAGCCAGTGAATCGCCCGGCACCCTACACCATCTGCCCTGCGGCGAACCTACCGCACGAGCCGTTCCCGACTCATTTCCCTGGAGCTGAAGATTATCACCTGATGGATAAGGTTTACAGCGATATACTCAACTTACCTGCGGATGGTTTCAACGGCGAGCGCTACGTTATCACAGTTACAGAAGCTTCTACTCGTTACGTTTGGACTGGAAACATGACTAATCGTTTTCTTGCGTTTACAGCTTTCCGCACCTGGCTTCCTCTCGCCGAACGAGAGTTTGATACTAAGCTAAAGGCGTTTCAGTGTGACGGCGCCGGCGAGTATCGCAGTAACGAGTTCACGACCTACCTGCAAGAACGCGGGATGAGACGCCTTTTTTCGTTGCCTCACGCTCATCAGCAGAGTGGCGTAGCTGAGCGGCTCAACAGGACTTTGCAAGAGAAGATGCGAGCCCTTCTTGCCCAGGCTCAACTCGGCCCACTCTACTGGCCTTTCACCATGGACCATGCAACGGTGTTGCACAACCTTCTTTCGTCCTCGGCCCTGCCCAACAACGCCTCACCCTACTTGCTGTGGACGGGCAAGTTGGGTACCACTAAATTACTTCGTGTTTTCGGGTGTGTTGTTCAGTACCGTCCTCCTACCGCTCCGCTCGGGAAGTTCGATCAGCGTGCTAAGTGGGGGCTGCATCTCGGCATTGAAGTACCAAAATCTTGCCTGGCGTATCATGGATTACCGCAGTCGTCTCCTTGTTCCTGCTCGCGACTGTATTTTCTACGAGAATCTGACGCTGCCCGTCTTCGAACAGTTTCTTGCCACGCAGCAAAACCCTGCCACACTTTTCCACGGTGTTCGTTCGTTCGCTAGCGCTGACGCCGAACTTGCTGCCAGCGAAGAACCTGACCCCGACGGTGCACGTGAAGCTGCTCCCGACCCACCTGTCCCTGTCACGTCTTCCGGAATTCCGGAGTTTATTCCTCTTGCTGACGCGGCACCTGAGGATGTTCGCGATGTTCATCATACTTACCTCGTGGATGACCAGCGCCAACCAATGCCGGTGGTTTCCGATAGCAGCATCCGTGTCAACCCTGACGAAATTGGGGGGGCAAGTGGCGACCAGAATGATTCTGTCAATTTCGCAGGTCGCACCGACGATAATCCGCATTATCAGACCGGACTGCAAATTCTGGGACTCGCAGCAGCGGTACAGCACAGTTCTACAGTAAATTTGGAGCCGAAAACTGCCCGACAAGCTCTCTCAGGGCCTCATCGTGAAAAATGTGTCAGATTTATAT